GACATGTAACTTCTCCCCTCAATATCCATACTCTATTAATCTATTAATAATCTATTAATACTCTATTAATCCATCAAACAGGTAATGAGAATACTCAAACTTATTAATATGTAAAAGTTGTCATCTTGATCTACCACCATAATTCTCATAACTAATTTACAAAGAAACCTGTGACAGCCAGAGGGGAGCATTGACAATCAGATCTTGGGAAAAAGGCTTAGTAATACATTTACATGCACTTTATTTGTCTCATGATATAGTTGGTTCCATTGTGCATTGCCAGATAAGGTAACACATAACCAATCAACCTCAACACAGGACCCACACTGCAAGTGGGTACAACATGAGACAAACCATTGATGAGACCTCACTACAAAACAATGTATTCATCATGACCAAGAACCACAACTAATACCACCTCTTGCAATCAACCACACCAACACTTATAAAATTTTTCTTACAAGGACTTTCAGCATGGTGAAAAGAATCCTTAACACTTTTCATTGTGTTGCATTCATAGGAAAAAAGTGCTTGCATCAATGCAGAGCCTGTTCTCAAATCTTCAGTACGAGATAAAAATCGGTTGTGCACATCAAAATGATTCCTTCAAGATGACCCTTCTTTTAAAATAAAAATAATTTTATTTTCCATTGATGGATTCTTTGCTTTATGAAGCTCACTTTTTGCTTAACCACTAAATTACCAATTCTAATTTGCGAGTTTCTGTGCCATCAGTTAAAATTGATGTCCAACATAAATGCTCATTGATATGCCAAGAGTTTATGGACCAAGTTTGACCAATTTTTGGAAAAATTTTGATGGAAAGCTACAGCACTTCTGAAATCTTGCTTTTAATTTTCTCAGTCTCAGCTTTGCTAAGAATCTGCAGAACTTTAAAAACAAGTAGTTTCTTGGAAAAACCACTTAAACTTTCAACATTTTCTGAGAAACCCATAAAAAAAAATAGCACTGAATACAGAGAAGACTATACAATGCCATGTACTTAAGAATGAAACAGAAGACATAAAGGCTAAGAAAATTCATTATTATTGACAAGCTTTGCCTTTACTATACTTTTCTTTTTCTCATTTTGTGTTGTAGAAATGGGAAAATGACAAATTAGACTCAGATCCTGTGAGTTCAGATTCCATCACAAGAATCATTAGACATCAAATGTTCGCATAAAAAGGTTATTACATTTTCCTACAGAGTTCAAAATGCCACCTTAAATACTTCTAGCAAATAGATTCAAAGATTCCTAAGCCATAATTACTTACTAGAAAGACGAAACCTAAAAGCCTCCTGATCAAAGAGGCTTTTCAACAGAACACAACAGTGCAGGTCAGTCAACCTGCATTTGACCAGGAAAAAAACTTCTTCACCAAGTGCCTGTTTATGGCTGGTGCATGAAGTTGCAAGCAAAAAGGGGTTATTCTAAAGACATCCATTTAACTTGATCTTTGCCCATTCGTCCATCATCCAAAGCCACTAGTATCCTTTACTTAGGAAGCCTTGTGTAACTGAGCCTAAAACAAACATTAGCCTACTGCTGTGCATATTATGTAACATCAAAACCTACAGCCAAACGAGGCAAAGTAATAATGCATGTGATCTTAGACAACTCATGTTACAAAACCCTCCCTGACTTCTACACTGAGAGCTATTTTGGCCCAAGTGCGTGGTTTACAATACGTCAATAAAATGGCCTCTTCAAAAGTTGTGCAAGAAGTAAGTTAGAGTCAAACTGATATTCTAATTCTAAGAGAGACCATCAATGAGTTTTCCTTAAAAACATCTCTGTATTTGGAATTACAGAGAAGTAAGGAGGGAGGGAGAAAAAGATTAATTCGGAAATTATTTTTCGCTTAAATGAAATGTTTGACACGAGGCTGAGAATTGGTACTCAAATCTTATTGGCAAAAGCATTGAATAATTACTAATCGAATTTTTTCAGCTTCCTCCATTTCAATTTTGGCTCCTTTTATCAAAAAAAAAATGTTAAGTCGATAATTAAATGATAAACTGCTAGGTCCAAAGAATAAGCACAGTCTGCCCCACAAAAAAATGACTATTAGAAATAATCAGTTGAGGTAATCATTCCCATTTCTGACACAAGAAGAAAGAAAACTTAAACAAACAAACAAAGCAAAAAATTTAAATCCTGTATGCATCTTGTCCAAAAACTCAACTAAGACACTGTCAGGGTGGCATAATCAACAGAAAAATTATTTTGAAAATTCTGTCAGTTCTCGCCACAACAAAGATTTATTCATTAACCCCTCTGACTAGATCCTTCATAAGCTGAAGATTTTGAGGTGATTACAGCAGACAGTTTTAATCCAACTACAGACTGTTAATTAAACAAATACAAATTAACTCAACCCAAATCAATCCCATTGAGATAAATCTTGGCTTCTCTTATATGTTAATGGCTTGGCTTGAGAAAATAATGGAAAAATTGTTGAAAGACGTCATTGTACAATATAACACTGCGATGAATGAGAGGGATAAAGCTGACAATTGCATGCAGAGTTGATAAAGAAGCTGTTGACAATTTCGCACACTTTCTGACTGAAGACTTGATGTCATCATTTTATAACATAGACGAAGCAATCATTTTAGCTATTGAAATTAATGCTAGTCGTGCGAAGATGATTGAGAAACTTAACTACCATAATAACATTTGAGTTAGCTGCTAACTGCATGATTCCAGAGAATGACGTAGAAATTCTTGAGTAAATTTCCCTTCACCACAATTACATTCTACCCTTATTGACAGCAACACTATTGTTATCTTCTCACCAATTTGAAAAACATCATGTACAATTCAATACATTAAATTCAAGACGCCGTGCTGTTTTTAAGGCTAATTAAAAAATGAAAGTCATTAATGAAACTCAATCGCAACCACTTACTGGAAAACAATTGCTCATTGTGTGGGAAAGGTAATAAAATTCTAAGTCTTTAACAGCTCACTGAATGAGACACTAATTTAGAGAACATTTCAACACGAAAACAGATTTCGTCAAGACTTATCATCTATGTCATTGCTAGCTCCTGGGCATATGTGTGTTGACTAACAAAAAAATTAAATTAAGCTGTGCTAATCAATCCCAGATTCACGAAGCAATCAATATTGTACAAAAACAAAGACAACAAAATTAAATTGAACAAATGACCAAACTTGAATGAATTGTATTGAATTATGTGCATGTTATGGTAAACAAATTTTCTTTCAAAAAAAGGACTTATATTCTATTGTGTTCTTAAGGTCTTTGATCAAAGGTAACTTATCACAAACAGACATTCTCAATTTAAAAATAGAATTTAGATTAGAGAAGGTTACTCTGGCTTTCATCCAACCAAGGAAGCCAAATTAGTGATTCTTCTAAATTTTTAGATATTCCCCAACTCATCACAAATTTGTCATTTTTCCTATAACTTCATTCCCATGCTAAGAGAATTGTGGCAGCTATAAATGTTAGCCTCCTTCAATATTTCTCATACTACACAGCTATGGAGATATTCATTACCCAGTATTGATTACAGTGGTGTAAGTTTGCCTGCTTCAATTTCACCAACATTCTTTATGGCCTTTTGTTTTCAATACAGTGAGCTTAGGTTGCTAAACTGATTTTTTTTGTTTATAGAACTGATTAGAGCTGTATTACAGCCCAGTGAGACCTGATACTGGTAACATGATGCATGAGAATGGAAACAACACAAACATGAAAAAATAGGAGAGGTCCACAAAGAACAAGAGACTTTGTCTGTAAAACTCTAAGAAAAGCACAAAATGGTTTAAATTAAGCCTTGCACTGGTTCTGTGCGCAAAAAAAACAAAGTAAACCAAAACAAAAACAAAACTGTTTAATGCAAAATGAAAAAAAAAAATTTAAGATGAGATAGAAAAGATAAGTGAGACAAATCTTTCATTCACAAAATTCCTTGAAGATAAAGTCCCTTATCAAATTTATCAAAAACTCTTAGCCACAAAATCCAAATTGCCATCAACAGGTACTCTTTAACTTAACAATATCTATGCATTCATCACCTTGCAAACGAAGGTTGAAAAGCACCTCTCGTGTTCTGAAGAAAGGACCTGAAACCATGTTTTTGTAGCACCAAACAAGAATGCATTAGAAAAACAAGCAAACTTGAGTCAGCTCATACATTAGTGATGCCTACAAGTCATTTGTCAGTCTGGAGACAAAACATTCCAGAAGAACAAATGAGCTAAATCAAAATATTTGACCTGTGGGTGATAAGCATCAGATTAAACACCTAAACATTTCAGGCAACCATAAGGAACACAATATGAACACAAAATACAGACTTTTGTACTGCTTCAAGATAGCTTCTTAAAAAATTGATGCCACTTTAAGAAGCAGGCACCAAGACAGGACAATTCCTCTTACAGAGGGTTGTGTGCCCATAGGTTACAAAAGTTAAAAACTTTTACAAAACCTGTGTTGACCGTTAAACATTTAAATCATGGCAAGAATGATTTGTTCATTCATCAAAAGAAATTTAACATTTGATCAGTGTGTCACATCGAAATAAATTTCTATCAATCAATCAACAAAACTTACAAAACAAACACCTAATAGACCATGCAGGTTGCCATAAACACCTAATTAAATCAAGTCAGAAGCACCTGCCTAATAAACTCTCCACAAGTATGACAACATCAATAAACTTTCAAGTTGACAAACAGTGTGAACATAAAAAAAATTATTAACTGGTGTTTGTCTTCAAAATACATAAGAGTCTCAATACAATACACAGAGATACATGCCAGATGGTAAAGACAACTGGCACCAAAAAATAAAACACAAAAATATTAGAAGCAATCCCTCGAAAACACACATCATTAATACACCCTTCTGCTTCATCATAGCTGGCAGCTACTTCACTAAAAGCTTCCTAGAGACATGATGTCAATGACACCCACTCAATGTTACATCTACATCAATGACACACATGCATCCAATCAAATTGAAATGTTGAACAAAAAGAAGTGATTGCCAGGCAACTGTGTTTACTGTATGACAATTAATAAAAGACGGAAGTTGGACTCTAGCCAGTGGAACTCATTTTTTTTTTTTTTAAGAAAATGTGTTCAGAAAATGAAAGAGGGATTAACATTCTTCAAATAGAAGAATAAAATTGCAGTCAAAAATCTGTGGCTCAAAGCCTGGTCTGATTTCAGTTAGTGCATAGAGAGCAATTTCATGGCTAATTCTAAACCAGTGGTGATTCCTTCTGACATGAAAATCTTGTATTTAAAACTTCTTCTCCAGTGTGGTTGTGGTTCTTAACCCTTTAACTCCAATGGGTGACCAAGACAGAGTTTCTCCTTACAATATCAATACACCATCAACCAAATAAGTGATGAGAATAAAGAAAAATATCAATTTGGGGATAATAAGTTGACCAACTCTAAATTCTCTGAACTAACATTATAAGAATTGTATGGTTGACAGTAAAGAGAATTACAATTATGATCTGGGAGTTAAAGGGTTAAGTCATGGCACTATAGAGGTGTGAAGTGGGTATTACAAATGAAAAGCTTAAAAAGGGGACTGCATAACAAGACCCACAGCACATTCAAAGTCCAAATCGATCCATGCAACACAAAAATGACACTGAAAAAAAAAATCAATTTGCAAAAAAAAAAAAAAGTGTAACAATTAAATAATCCCTCAGATAATCATCTCCTTGCACAACAATTAACTTAAGCATTTTTGTTTCCGAGCGCTTTTGTCTTTCTGTTTTCCCAACTAAAACAAAGGTTTTCCTTATGCAAATTGACCTACAGAATGGCAAGTAACATTAGCCTGGCCTACTAAAAGTCTTCCACAGTAGTTCATCTGCAGTACTAATTGCAGCATTTCCCATCTTTCAACAATGACTGTATTTACATGAGTAATTTTCAAGCCGCTTAGAAAATTTTGGCAAATAATTTATGCAATAATTTTAAGCCACCAAACCAGGTAGCCTGGGAGAGTCGGAAATTAATTTTGGTTAATTGCGGTTACTAATCTGATAAGGCTGGAAACAGAACACCAGGTCCATTTTTATTTTTCTCACAATGCTGCAAAACAAGACTTTGTGATCTTAGAGGCTTTCCTTCTTCAAATGATCCAAGGAAGCAATTTCAAATGTAAACAATTGTTCTTTCTTTTACCCTTGGAAAAGCAAAACAATTGGCTTCATGACCACATGGTTGGCAGCTTCCCTCAGGATATTCAAACTGCTCATTTGCTAACAATACCTCATCACACTTCTTTGAAGAACTTAATAATTTTACTTTTGAAAACATTGGTCCATCTAAGATTGCTTTACTAAGTCTATACAACTAAACAACTTCAGGATTGTTATACAAGACAGCCAATGTTGCCAAAAATATCACCTGCAGTTTACGACCTGGAACAATTAAAGTTTTCAATAGGAAAGATTGACAAGATTCTTTACTTAACAACTGAGAAACTGCTACTTTAAGCTTTAATGCAAACTACTCATACTCAGAGTGAAATTGATCATCTCTCTCAATTTTTATTTCATGCATTGCACCTATCAAACCTCCTATTCCAACTACCAGCAAGACATATGAACAAAAGAAAACAAAAAGTGAAACGCTAAATTGTATGAGCCCACAGAGAACAAAATGCATTTTCCCATCCTTGAGAATTAAACCACTATTTCAGACATTTATACAGTTCTCTTCAGAGAAATTTATTGATATGACAATTCTTGCAAAGTGGCAAAATCAAACCACACAGAGTCAATTTCTTTCTAGGAAGTGCCTTGCACAAGCTTTTTTTAAGAAACAAATTAAGTCCTGCTCAACTGGTATAACTAATAAGTTGTTGGCAGAGCAACAGTTAATTTGTATGTAAATTAACTTTCATTGTGTCAAATTCATTTGTCAAAACAATTACATCACTCTGCGAACATGTGGAATTGCCAATGTTCCAAATTAGTAGCCTATGTTTCAGTCTTTCCTTGTTCTGTTGATGACAAACAATAACAGAAACTATACAAATCACAGCTGTTTGTTTGCTAATTTCAACAAACACTCAGTGAAAATGGTTTCCAATGAAACAATCCAAATAGGAGACAAAATCACACATCTTGTTACAAAATATTTTTACAATACTGGTTTCTGGAACAACTAAAAATTCTCCTTCACAACATAGTGAAGAGCAAGGCTAAAAACAAATATTCTCTCCGGCGACTTTCAATACCATTTCTGATATCCTGAGCTAAATTTAATCTATTTTTGTCTGGCATTTTAGATAGTAGACACATAAGAGATCTCACAATCAACATCAAGTCGACAAAAAAAAAACCATAAATGCCTAGAAAACACAAATTTATAAAGTAATTAATATCTTTTCTACCTCCTAATAATGCACTCATAAAGTCTTCACTTATTCAAAACTCAAAAATCCTGGTGCTCACTAGTAACCTATATAAACAATTCATTTATAGAGGAATCTTGCAAATTTCACATTGCAGACATATCTTAGACATACAATTTACAACAAGTAAGCTAACAAAATTTTAGTGGACATCATTAAACATCAATCACACACTGTCCCAATTCATATGCAAGCATTTTGTTTTTCAGTTAGCAATTAGCCTGATTATCTCCGAATGGATCTAAATAGAGCGACTTAAGAGATAATAAAATTATTGAAAATGTATGCTAATAATGCAACACCTGTTGGTAGAGAGAACTGGCAAAGATACAAAAGAACAGACTAGAAGGAGGAGTAAAGGTGTATAGTGGAAAACAAAACCGCATTATGGAAAGAGAACTCAACTCACGACAGAAGTTTCTATTTTATCCATTTTCCGACTGCCTAACCTCAATCATAGAACAATATACTGAAATGTTCCTTGCAGGAAATTGTCAATACCTATAGTTTCAATAACTGTCAGTTGAATTGGTTTCCTATGACTGCGGAGTTTGAAAAAGGAAGCGGTAAAACTCTATTTAAAGGCAATGATGGCCACTGATTAAGAAAAATTTCCGTGTTTTTGGAAACGGTTCAAGTTTTCCTCAGAGTTAGCTCGCAGCCACTTCAAAAATTCGATATCTGGTTACGCGTGACAAAATTAACTTTTCAGCAGAAGAAAGGTAAAATTATTGTGGTTATCATAGCTATGTGCATAGATTAATCCTCTGTGGTCAATGAACGTTTCACGTGTGACGAAGGGTAATTGGTATTCGCTTTTACACACGCAGTACCATTCGCAAACCAGCGGATGAGAAAGAAGATCTTTATAAAAATGCTGAAGAAGTTTTAACGATCAATATTCACAAATTATACTCCCGATGCTGAGATCAATATGCAATTCAGTGACATTGGGTTCTACTTCAGTAAGTTCGACAAGTAAATAAGGGAAGGCGCTACGTGAATTAAATCACTCTATGCGTAACAATATTGTACAAACTGAAACCAATTCCTCGGCTTCACAGCGCGGAATTCTAGCTTCAAACAACGACAGACAAAATTACAGAAATATTACTTCCAAAGTTCATTCGATAACCTTAGGATTTCACTTTCGAACATAGCGGAGACTAAAATAGCCCTGTCGAACCTAGACATTCCTTTTCCGATGTATGCTGAAGGAATGAATGAAAAGCTTAACCATTTGGCAGCATTTTGATTCACGGTCAATCACATCATTCGACAACATATTTACTAATAAAATACGCGTTCGAAATGGTGGGAAACGGAGCTCTCTCAAGCACGTATTACATATTTTAACCACTCACAATCTGTGCCCATCACAAGATTAATGAAGAACAAAACTTACATAAACTTACCTTGTGGCAGTTTACACGCAGTACAAAATGTCGTTCTTGCCCGAGTTTCGGTGCCGAAAAATTGATGCACTTCGCGTTTGGCCATTTTCTTTAAGTACTCACGAGTACATTTGTTCACTTTGCAATTCTTTCTCCTTGCTTCGGTAAATGCTGGCCTCGTTGGATCTGTGTGCGAAGTACTCCTCCGCGAAATGTGGATTGACGGCATGCTCTGTTTAGAACGCGAAAAAAAATTATTCTTCAAATAAGCATCTCTCGGATTACACATCAAACATGGAAAATGAAGTGAAGAGGTGAAATCGCACACCAGTGTTGGAACGCAAAGCCGACGTCTTTTACGTCGGAATACGTTTAGTGTTCATTTGCTTTCAATTCTCCCGAGATATTACGATCAGTTGGCACAAACAAATGGCACGTACCTTCAGAAGAGTCGGCGGAGATGTAACATTCGTTGGTTCGGCAGGAAGCGCCGATTGACTCAAATTGCCTCGTAGAGGGGCAAATTTTGTTGGTTGTTCGACCATAGACGATTCAATTTTCTCTACTCGCGTTTGTAAGGTTTGTAAGGTCTGTAGTTGTATAAATACAACCACGAATAGTACAACGAAAACAATATTAAGCAAAAATGATAGGCATAGAAGATTCGACATGCTTAATCCAAAACTCTCGCAAGTACATTTTCTCCGCGACGAACCCAAGGTGTGCTTGACTATCGTCTCTTCCTTCGGACACTCCATACTTCCAAATGGAGATCAAACCACGTGTGAATGGCGCTTGAGCACTTTTCCACTTTAAAACATTCCTGCCGAAGCTACAGTCTTCCATACGAATTACAACTCCACCGGAAAAAGAAAACTCGGCGATCGCGAAAGCGAATCACACACTTCCTCTTCGCTCTGTCGTGTGACTTGCAACTAGTCCTGGTACCAGTCAAGTTTGCGTACCCTCAGCTCGCGCCAAAATTCTGTTAATAACAATAGCCAAGCGTACGTCAGTATTCGCGGAACAACGTCCACGTGTGTATCCGATGAAAACAACTCACTGCCAAAACATAGGCGCCCTCCACCAATCACACCACGCACTGGGTGGATAACAATCTCATATAAATAACCGGTGATTGGTGGAAAACAATAGGCCTGATTCATTTCACACTTGTGGGCCAATAGCATTGTTGGTTCTATGGCGATAGAAAACACTTAAAACGGTTTATTTAATTGATCAATTGTCATTCAAATTCATCGCTGCTGACGGGTCGCAGAGCTGAGTGATTTTGCAGAGGAAACTGAAGCAATGCATGAGATTTTAAACGTTTGCGGGACCTGAGCGTGAAACCCTCTACCAGTTTAGCACATCCGCTCGCGGTGTGAATATCTTTGAACTCAATCATTTGTAAGCGAAATTGTCATAGCCTTGACCCGAGGAGGCCAAACAATTGGATGGGTGCCAGAAAAGCACATGGAATTTATTAACTTAAGCTATTAAGAAATGGCGTGACATCTCTGTGTCTTGTCGACCATTGCATCGTAAAGCGGTGAAGTCATATTATATGGGGGTGCAACCTTATTGACAAACATTTGAGGGCGTTGCCGATTGATCTACGAAGCGATAGTGAAATCTGTTGTAAACTCCCTCTCGCTTACTCACTTTAAGCTTGTTTCACACGATCGAACGAAATGTAAACAGCCAAAACAACACGAGATAAACAGGAAATTGTTAATCAAGTGTTTTAGAGGAAATGACAAAACATCTTTGTGATCTTGTCGATTTGCGTGTGTTGCCCAATATTTGTTGAGCAAATTCCTCGAGAGTTGTGCAGGCAAAAGCAGTTTCACTCGAGCCGTGACTGGAAAAGCTCGAGAAATGTGATGATCCTCCCACGGGCAAACTTACTTCCGATCTGTGCCACAGGGGCGGAAGTCCATAGAGGCACGCGTTGAGGAATTTTGAACGGCTCTCATCAATCACAGTCAGAGAAAACCAACTCCACTTTGCAAAGTTGTCCAGCACGCGCGCGCGCACGAAATGTTGAACTTGTGTACTCTGTCGTGAAAGGAAATAGATCGACCTTATTGTATTGAGTTCCGACAGGCAACTAATACACCGGTTCTGAATGATGGCAAGCATCATCACTGAAGGGAAAAGGATAGATTCCAAGTTTATGCCTTGAGTAATCTTAATCTAATCTTTATTCGTAAAAACAATAACAGATGAAAATTTACAGGAACCTTGTGACAGAACAGAGACGCTTACAAAGACACTATCATAATCCATGTGGCTAAATTCGGGAAAACAATTCGACAATTCACAACAATCAAACTCCAAAGTTCGGAAATACTTGAAGTTGAAGACAAACGAACTGGTAAATGAAAAGTCAAGATTCTTGACACAAATCCGTACACAAAAGATTCCTTTTTATCGCAGTAATCACATCTCTATAATTCACGGGGTCTGTTTGTGAAACACAAGCAAATAAAAACTTTCTGCAAACGAATACAGTGCTGTTTATTTTGGCATCGATATCAAACAGATTAATCCACAAGTTCTTGGTGGAACTGTCCTTAATTTAGCTCAAAAGTTGATTGTTGTCGTCAAAGACCTCCTCTTACCATAACCTGTGAGACATTGTTAATTCTCAGCTAAAACAAGCGGGCACGACAGACGCTCAGAAGCAGCTCATAGGCCTGGTCATGCTATGCATCGGGCGATAACAGGTTTAACGGAATAAGCATGTTTTCATGCCCCCCTGAACAGGACAGATCGAAATAAAGCTATTTTGAAGCAGGCAAAAAAATAATACAGGATACAAGTGAAAATTCGATCGCTTTTTCGTTTCCATCATCGGTTCCGCACCTAGCTATGAAAAGGTTGAGATAAATTGTGAAATCAAACTACTTCTTTCGTGATCTCAATGTATCGTTAACGACGTTATGAATCCTGGTTATTATATGCGAACTGCTAATCCCTTTGTAGACGTCTAGGAATCGTTATTTCTAACAACGCCGAAAGGAAGCACACCACGCAAGATCTCCGTTCCAAAATTTCGGGCAGCCAAAAAGGTAATGACGATTGTTTTGCGCGCGATTCCTTCTAGCTTTCCGGCACACGCCCAACACACCATGGAGGAATGGTAACTTGAAAACAAGATCTACAATAGACTTCTATACGCTTTTCAGGTCGGTATTTTTCACCTTAGAAAGTGCGGTACCCCGGGTACCCAGGCACGTACTGTTTCTACGCCTGAACACCCGACTTTGACATCTATTTATAGAGGTAATAGTTTCGTTCAAAGCTGGATTCATTTCTTGGCACTGTACTATTAATTTCCTTTCCTTTCAACCAGACAACCATGACGACTTGTTGAGTTTTTCATCAATTGAATCTCTGAACCGCAACAATCATCCTCTTTCCCTAATCTTGAGTACAAAACCGCGCAAAAATACGTGCAAGCTTACTTACTTCCTATCTACGATAATTAGTACTGAATGGAGGAAGGAAAATTCGTCAAATAGGATTCAACCGGATAAAAAGCCAAGGAATAACTTGATGATAAAGATTACTGAACACTTGACTCAGTAAAAGATATGATAAGAAAACACGATTAAAGTAAACCTATAGGAAATATGCGGCGCTTAAAAGATGACCACTTTATTAAATTTTACGAAAATCGTGCTATAAATAACAATTATGGCATGATATTCTACAAATTTTTAAGACAAATTTCAGCTATTCGCGAAGAATTGAAAACATTTATGATTTACTTCGAATGTGGGAGAAAAGTTTGCGGAAGAGGTGTGACTGGTATACAACGTGTTCACTCACAGTAGGACCAAAAAGACAAAAAAAAAAAAAAACCTTTACAAAAGCATTAATTGACACATGAGCAGTCACTAGTCTCATGACTAAAATCACCCCGCTGTTTAATTTATGGCAACACAAGAAAACCGCTCAACAGGGTGAATGAAATGCCATTTGTACACAAGATTAACATTTACATTTACAATGGTGAGGCTTTTGTGTAAATAAGGTTTAAATAGATCCACAAGGAGCAAGGCAGGTCACCAACTGCGCTCAGTAGTAGAAGACACCGTAGGCTGCCACGACGCAAAATAACGTATCCTATGAAAAGAGAGAACAAAACAAGTAAAGTGAGGGTTTCAGTTAGAAAATGACCGCATTAACTAACAGCCACCTGCTTGGTTAACAACGCCTCTGAGCAATAGTTGGTTGGGTTGTAACTTAAGGGTGCTTTGTTTTGCTTGTAAGTCAATCTAGGTGGTGGCACTTTGCCAGAATAATGGGTTCCTGATGAGGAACAATAGCGCTGACACGAAGAGGAACTCATAAACAAGCAAACAAGAGCGTGATTACGAAATATGAGACGCATCATTCAGAAGAAAACAAATCGCAAGAGGACTTGGTTCTTTTTCTTCCTTTTTATTTTTTCGTACAAGTAATGTACTTGAAGCAAACTGCTCTGTTTAAAAGCAAAGCATCTTTCTGTAGAAGACCAAATAAAACGATCGCATTTTTTAGTTCATATCTGAAGCTGTATTCTCAAAAAGCGCCTCCGCCTTTTGCCACAAGTTCCTTACTCTCATGTACGTTGCCCAATTCGGTAAAGAGTTAGCCATTCCCGCAACCAATCAGAACACTGGATAAAAACTCGCACGCACGGGCTGACGTTCTATGCTGACGTCACGTTGCTAACCATCAACTTACGGGCTTGGCGAGCTGTCTGAGGCGGTACGTATACTTGTACCCACTTGTGAACCGTCATCAATCCAAAAATATAAAATATATTACAATTGAAGAATACAAAGAGAGGTTCTTGTATGACAAGGGCCCGCCGACAGCAGACTTCACCGCCTTTTTAATTAGGCTGCTTCCGCATAATACAATTTTGTCCCTCAAAGGAATATCACTGAGAAATTTTACGAAAAGCACGACCGCGCGCGCCAAAAGGAGCGCGCACTGTATAGAATAAACTTATCTTCTTAGCCATGGTAGAAATCTAGGCTACGATAATGACTTCGAGATTACCACTCAACTAGACTCAAAGTATTATAACTCAGAGTTCACAGCCTTGAGTACTTTAAATTTGATCCTGAAGAAAGCGGCTTGCGACAATGTTGCTGTACCTTTGCTGAATCGCAACTCAAATATTTTACTATAAACTGCACCACTACAGAACAATTAGCCGATGTACCAACCTAGGCTCAACCTCTTGACGAACGATCTGGAAGCTTGGATTTCTAAATGCCTATTCAGAGAAAATTCATTATTCAAAGCCGAACGAAGCACTGGATATATATAGTTCAAGGGTCGCTTCGGAGAGCAATCTCGTCTGGCAGATATTTCCTCTACCGCTAAAACAACGGAGATAGATCACGCCCTAATCCTTACTTGAGAGAGATGTTACGAAACTGCAATGCACAGGCCTGACACCAAATGCAACGTCTTCCTTTTGAGCCCACAGGGAAAAGAAAAGATCACGAGCATAACTAAAAGTTCAGCTTACATGGCCGATGTATTTTCGTAAAACAGACCAACATCGGCCTAAGCAGGCTTGCCTTGCCTTCGGCTACGGCGGTACAAGCCTTTATAAACAATATAACTAAATTACACGTTCACCGCGCTCCGCCAAATGAATATATTTGCGGCAAGATGAACGAGCATTATCATGAGGTGAGCCAGGGCGTGTGACACGCACGACATCCACGCAAACTGCACGTACTGTCCACGCAGCTCGAGTTACTCAAGGGAAGGCGTACATCATGTGAGAGTAGCTTCTCGAGATGATGTAGGGTCGCTAGGTCAAGGCCTAGTACCCAAACACAGATCAGTTTTCGATAATAGGCGTATGTGGGTTGAATACTACTTCTGGACTCTCCGCTATAGTAAGGGCACTGCGTACTTGGCCCATTTCTTTCTTGCAACACATAATTACATACAACAGAGTAAAGGACAGCACTTAGTAACTGTTTAATCTTTTTTCTTCCTTTGCAACATTCTTTCAATTTGTATAATTTGTAGATTGCCATATAAAAGAGGGTTTTTTTGCTTTTGAAGACGAAAAATAAGTTGCTATAAAAACAGGAAGAGATATCATATTACTCATGCTATGTGTTTCTAAGATTAACAGCGCTAAAAAAAATTGCACCAGGACTGATAGCGCACCAACAGCGCCCTCATACAGCTCAATAAACCACCGCAGGCGTACAGCAAACGTATCACTATCGTTCAGGTCGAGGTTGATTATATTTTTAAAGCCCTTTCCGGAACGAACAAAAGAGTGCAATACGTGGAATGATTCCCCATTGTGAAACTACAGTTAGTCTGACGCTGAACATTTCAGGAGAAAACCGATAATTTTACTTCTTCCTGACTTCAATAATGCTTAAACTTCCTAATGTATTTTACTAAAAATTTGAAATTATAGTACTAGCATTGACAATATCATGTAACAAAAACATAATTCCCAGGTTGACATTTCGACATCTACGAGCCCCCGAGCCAACTTCGAGACGGAAAACAACACTTGTTATGTCTAATAACCACGAGATCTTGTGTCTAGTTAATGTGAACCAAAACTCATTATCTACCAAAAGAGATCGCGTAGGAAAAATGGCGCCAGCCTCAATAAAGGAACGAGTGGCCTTGATTCACAAACAAACCATCATATTTTCACGAGACACGTGCTCACGGGCACGTGTAAGCACGCTTTCGAGATTGATTTCCCGCCTAAACAATACAAATTCAGAAAAAAAAACAGGTCTTTAAGATATAAAGTTTTTTTTTTATTTGAGAACGGTATGAAATACAGAATGCAGATACTCCCCATGGCATCACCGTTGTGAAACTGACCTCAAATAAGAGCTATTGCTTTATCCATTTCTGGTAACCATTCTTGGAGAGGGTGTGGTCTCTCAGGAATTGCTTGTAGACCAAAATGCAACAAATCGACTGAAATTTATAGATAAATTTTCAATGTTTGAGATTTTCTTATGAAATAAAAATCACCGTAGTAAGACAACAGCGATACGTATTTCCAGTGATAACGAGGTTCAAATGCAGTATGACATGCACTATTTTTTTCCAATTTTTATGTCCTGTTATTTAATCTCTTTGCAAAAGCACCTTCCAACCAATTCCTTTTTTGGTCTTCTTGAGACGCACACAGCAGTGTACCGGAAAACACTCCTCTTTTCTTTTGTTTCTGATCTATTTTTCGTGAAATACTTTCACATAGAAATAACGATGTGAACAAAACGTTAACCTGCCCTTCATACTCACGTGTAACGTTCTTCAAATGGAAATGAATTACCCCGACTTGTTTTTTCACGATGGAAGCAAGGTCTAACTTTCCTAAGCCATAAACAATAACGTACGAGTATCAACCGGTTATCATAAGGTGTGTGCATCTATAAAGAGTTGTACGTCGCGATTTTGGGCAATATGCAATTGCAAATGTTCGTTTTCTTTTGTCAAATGTTACCTTGGCTGTTAATTCAAGATAATGATCATACCGGCGAAATGATTAAGCAATTTGCGACGGACCAACATAAGCTGAGGTCTTCAAATAGGATTCAAAAAATAATTTGATTGACCGAAGAAAGTTCAACCTTTGATCAGCGAGTCGATATTTTAATCGCACTCAAAGTTGAAGAGAGAGATGTTTAATTTCCGAGTTGTACCGGCTCCCAAGCAACGCAAACAGGAAAACAAACTATTCAGAGGTGTGTTCAATAATGCAGAAAGTTGTCTGAAGAGAGCAGCGGGGGTGCTTGAATACAAAGAAAGAGCTCTAAACAAACTTCAAATGCGCAAAGAATTGAGACATACAGTTGGATTAATTGTTGCTGTCAGCTGTTGGCTTCGGGCAAGAAACACAATGATACTTTATAACAGAGAAGGGAAAGACTTAGAGTAGGTAAAAAACAGGGTAGGGGAAAAAACAGAGTACGGAAACAAACTTAAAATGCGAATAGAATTGAGACACGCAGTTCAATTAATTGTTGCTGTCAGCTGTTGGCCTTCGGGCAAGAAACACAATGATACTTAATAACAGAGTAGGGAAAAAATTATCGCGGTTTAACAACACAATGAACTTAATTTCAGGATTAGTTGCAACAAGGTTCTCACAAGTAATCGTGGAGATAAGAATACTGCTTGAAATCAAGATAAAACGAAAAAGAAAAAACTCACCGATTTCGCTCTTAGCGGGGGAAGAAAACAGCGACGCGACTCAGATTGAACAAATTGTACTGAATATGGAGTTAAGAATTACGTTTTTCCTAATCATATAATTTTTTCTTTCGATCGAGAGCAGCAGAGTATCTTGGTCATCTTGAACTTCGTGCATATGCAAAAACAGGTGTACGCTTATTCAATGTTCCGTTTCACAAGAAGTTTTTGGAAACTTCTATCGATTAACAATAACAAACTGCGACAAAAACAACCTCGAAAATAAAAGTATAATATTATTTGGAAAAGGCAATTTTTCTACGGGTTGATTTTTCATCAGAAAAAGGTTGAAAATCCGCAAACAAGTAATCAACGGATTATACCATCAGCCTAGCCACCGCAATTACGGAAACGTGATCCACAAATCTGTTCACAAGGAAAAACGCGCTCACAAATCAAAGCAAACACCGCTCGCTTAGCCTCGTGGCGGGAGCGTCTTCGCAAAACGCACGTGTTTGCGTTTCATGTCCTGAGTCCAATATACAAAACGTCAAATTAAACCTATACAAAACACGCAGCAAGGCTAACCCCATGCGCGGATATTTCTTAAGGATATGCTCTGGTGCCAAGCGCCCCTGCGCATTTTACCATGATGTGCATCAAGCCCACTGTTTACCTTTTACGTCAGAAGTCGAGAATATATTGGGACGCTCAAAGAATACCGAAGTATTTTGCTAAATGGGGCTAATTATCTCCTATACCTCAAACCTCGTTTATCTCTTTATTTCACCCACATGAAGAGTTAATAGGCTCAAATCTCGTCGACACTGCTCGAGCTGAACATGGAGAGCAAGGACGGTTTCTCGCCCCCAACCGCAGAGGATGATTAAATTCCACCCTAAAGTAAGGTCGTGGGAATAACCCGTGAGAAAAATAGACATGTTGGATACAGAGGCTGCGTCATTCATCTTATTCTGTTTTATTAGCAAACACACCTGTCTTGGTTTGGCTTGCATTGTTTCACGCGCGCAGTGTTTATATAACAGTGGCCGGCTGGGCAGTTGTTGATCGCCCAGCCGTAACAGGATTACGCCGTCTCGAAAACTTGCAAATTCACTTTCTTCCTCAGCAATACCGCAAAACCCTCCACGCCGACAGTTAATTGACCAATCCCCAAGGACCGCTTGAGAAAAACGACACGAATGCCTCAGACATCACGCGGAAAGAAGAATGGATGTACAATTCATTTCTGAGCCCAATAAAAGAACGGAAAAGGGAAACAACACAGTGGACAAAGGCTCGTTACGCAAGAGGTATCTCAAGTCAAGCGACATATCAGTGAAAAAGTCACTTGGGGCAATGCAAGGCGTTAGTAGTTCAATAATTACCTAGCGGCTACGAACATTAGGATTTTATTGTCCGTCGACGCCTATCTCGAACTGTATCTTAAGGCGTCGTTCCCACATCCATCTCTAAACGAGGATGCTACTCAATTAAATGTACTGTCACGTAACAATTTTGGCTGATAAACAAAATTGTAATACTGCGCGATATTTAGTGTTTTCGTGCAGGCAGCACCACAGGAAACTGTCTACTATAGAAACTAAGTTAATTTCGCCCAGACAAACACTCCAATTAACGGTCGCTACAAGGGGGCCGAATGGCAGTAAAAGCCCACTGTAAAATCCCAAATTTGTGATCGCCAATAGGCAATAAACCACAGCTCTGCGAAAACACAAAAGAACTCGCCGTCTAAACCGCTTGGCAGGAAATAAGAATGAAAACAAAGCGTATTTTTACAACACAATTAGAACAATCCAGCTGGGTCGACAAACACCTGCTAAAAAGGCAAAAGACGCACTCATGCGTCCAAATTAAACCTCTGCTTTGTAAAGTTGTTTTTAAGAAATGTTGCCTTTGTTTGGGAAGGGGGCACGGCCCTATTTCAATCACAGTGCACAAGGTACTTTTTTTGCGAGATAATATTACACTCTTCGGTCGATTTTTCCATTATTCTCGCGCAGTAAAAACTCACCAAAAGTTAAACTAACAAACCTGGTTTCCATTAAACTATGCCCTCGAGTTCTGTCAACAAATTATTCGCACAGGTGCGCCTGGCGAACTGAATACCAGGTCACGTCCGAGAGGAAAAGGAGGTTCTCTCTTCCTTGAAAATTACTATTAGGTCATTTTTACTATAAAATCTCTATCAAAAACGGTAGAAAGATACCCTTGTTGTAGAGCAATGCGTATGCGGCTATGCTTAGGGTGTAAATATCCCAGATATGTCAACCATGGTAATAATAGGTCGAAATAGGATAAGTTAGTTATGAAATTTCGAACACACAGGCGCTATTTTTTAAATCGAAAATTGGCCCAGCCAAAAAAGGAAGAACTCTTCTGAATTTCACTGGAAATGCGTGCTTTGGGAACAAAAAGTTCCACGAATATTTTATCTTCACTGATTTGGATTGTTTTAAGATGGAAATTGAGACTGTAAGAAGGGGATGTGTTGATTGACTCGCTTTTCAGTGCAGGAGAAATTGTGTGTCAATAAACTTTAAAGGTTAGACACTTGATTCAGTACAAATTAATGAATTTGGAGTAAAAAAGAACTGCCTCGCAGTCAATTTACATTATCAAATGTAAGCATGCGAAATAGGTTTGGTCGGATTCGGCAGTAATTTATGCAAAACACAGCGAAGCTGTTTAGGGCAGAGAGCAAAGTCTGTCGACGAGTGAGACCTTTTCCGCGGGGCAGTAAAATAACTCAACCGATGTATTATCTGTTGAAAGGAAGAACTTGACAAAGACTGGGTTAATTAACAGAACGCCCATGAAAATAACAGCGAGAAAATTGGTACGGAGTAAAAATGTTATGTTAAATTACTGCAGTCTCGTAATAGCTTGCGATTGACTGTGTCAGTTCCTTACAAGAGAAAGCAGGGAAATGCAAGAAGCGAAATAAAAGTAGGTGAGTAGCAAACTATTGGTGTTCACTGTGTAAGAAAAGATATAAAAAGGTTTGTAGTTACGCTTTTGCGATACAGCAGTGTGCTGTTAAAGCAAGAGGAGGAGGAGGAGGTTAGAAACGGGTTACCAGCAAGGACCTACTCAAATCAACATTGTAATCAAACAAACAAACCGGATGCTTTCTTTTCGATTTTAAACAGAAATGATCCTCTACCCTGCTGTTTCGAAGAAAAACGTTATCACGTACAACATGAATAATGACACTTCTGACATTATATTTTTAAAATGAACAGTGCATGCGGAGAATATTTGACGAGCAACATTCTGTAAAATTAAGCTTGTGCAGATCGCGACCAGCAGACGCTTCGTAATCACTCCAGGGCGTTCAAAGGCAAGATATGTTTCACCCGGAGGTGATCCATATCACTTTTTTTTTTCATGAAAATCCGCTTGTACACCTAATGATACAGACTATATCATTCGTGACGCTGAACAACTTCCGAAAAGTTAAGCCCACGATGATAAATTAGGTTTGATTACCATACACCAGATCATCTATCCGTCACTTCTAATCATGCCTATCTGATCGTGAAGGGATTTTTCTAAAGCTCCTCTGCGGTTCCACTATGCGCAGCTATCGCTATTTACTCAGCTCATGCATGGGACCATAAATTCTGGGAAAATGGAGAGCGGATGTATGTCTGTTTTTTCTTTATGTCAAAGCCTTTAATCCGCTAGTAATTAATCCACGCTGTTAGTGTTTAGACTTGAAAAACAGCCTAAGCATCTTAAGCAGCTTTTAATGAGTGTAAAATTGAAAGAATGCAGACAACCTCAAATTAGTTGGCAGCCAGCGATATGTGGCTTCAAATGCTTTCCTACCAAATCCTTTTTTCTTTATTAAGAATAATAACATTACTCGGCACGAACATTTTATCATGCACGCAAAGACGGTTTTTCTTTAAACCTTCATCTTGCAGTACTCCTCAGACTGTTTCTCGAAACTTATCTACACGAGATAATAAATGACTACATATATCCCTCTCCTTGAAAATTCAATTCTGTCTCAGATCCAAATGTCTGTTAATTTTCCAAGCAGTCTTAGAACAATGCCGTAATTGAAGTCGAGGTAAAAGTCAAATTTAGGCCATGAGTTTCGTTTCATGCTTAAATAGAAAGGCTGATTCAAAATACAAGAAAAAAAAAATTGTTTACACGTAACATACAAGACTGTCATTGAGTGTATCCAGACCTCCAGGGCATGAGACACCGAAGACGCTTAAACTTGGGGTCTAAAAATAAGAAACAGCTAAATAAAAGTAGGAAAATGAGGGAAAACCCGCAACTGTACAAGACAGTATTGTATTCATGCGTGAGATATAGAGCTTGGAACATAACTTAGTACGCCTCATATTTCATAACTACTTTGGGCATGTCTTTTCAGCAACATCTAACGACTACCGCCCGAGTGTTTAAGTGACTCTATCATTATTTACCGCCTTTGTTTGCTCCAATTTATTACGCCCCACCGTTCAAAACTACTTTAGGTATGCCTTTTCAGCTACATCTAACGACTACCGCTCGAGGATTTAAGTGACTCTATCATTAAATACCGCCAGTGTCTGTTAAAATTGTCCGAATTTAGCAGTATGCGTGGGTCGAGCAAAACATATTAGTAAACTGGTTTCATACTCAGCATTCAAGAAATAAATTTGGGGGATTTTGCGTTATACAATTCTTTGCCCCCTTAGAATTTGCTCCAAAATTTTGTGTGTTTACGATCGCGGGTCATGTAAAACATAATTTCAATGAATTTAATTTAAGGAGTACTGTGAAGAGATTTTAAGTTATTCGGTCATTGTTAGTCTAGAATTTGCTCAAAAAATTGTCTCTTTCCATTTACACTGAAGGGTCGAGGAAAACATTTTGACAAACAGACACAGGTAACACTATGGTGTACTGCGGTCAGTGGACCTTTGGTTGTAACGCTGATTATTTCATTCTAACTGTCTTTGTTGCTTTCACTGTCTTGCTTCAAGCAACGGTCGCGCGGGAAACGCATTCCATGAGTTAACGAAAACTGGCGGAGATCTCAGCTTAGCAGACAATGTAAACAACACATTTTTGATTAACTTTTTTCTACTGTTCCATCATTAGCTACCCTAGTGCTCTAACAGTCCAGGAGTTTGCGCAGGCTTACGTAGATGCACAAAAATGAAAACCTCCTGCAATGAATGTCTAGCAAAAAGCCACAAGATTGAAAAGCCAACGCTGACAGCGAGCAAGGAAGACGTGAAAAGAAGGTGAAATGTTGAGCTGATCAAGATCAGACGAGAAAACAAAAAAGGCAGTGGGAAAGCTATTGTTTGAATTAAATCAGGAAAGAAGAGATGTCGCACACAAAACTATCGCATGGAAACTAAGACCCATGATGCAGAGGGTAAGACCAGAGCAGATGCGCTGCTAAGGATGCACAACAGGAACGCAAAGAAAAAGAAGCGGAGGCAGTGGGCAGTCGTGTTCTAGGAATTAAAGAGGAGACACAACACTTATTAGACCATCAAGGAACAACGTGGCTTGAGACGCCAAAAAAAAAAACAAACAAACAATAAAACGAGCTTTGTAGATTGGAGTATTAAACAAAGGCATCTGCTGTTTTCTGTTATATAAGAAGGTAGAAGAAGACGTCTCGCCAGTGTTTGCTCCAATTTATTACGCTCCACAGTTCAAAACTACTGTAGGCATGTCTTTTCAGCTACATCTGACGACTACCGCCCGAGGATTTAAGTGACTCTATCATTAATTACCGCCAGTGTTTGATAAAATTGTCCAAATTTAAAAACTGTCTCGCCAAAGATTCGTTTACAAATCGACAGTTCAATTGTAACCTGTAAATTTTCAGGCTGGGCCCAAATGCATCGATTAATGGGTAGTTTTGCAACCAGTGTGGAAAAGACCAGGCCAAAACTAAGCTCCGAGAAATACACACACATATAACTGACTCAAATAGCAGACGGACAAATCCTGCTGCATTGCGACCTCTCCATGGATGACAAGGATTAATGCTAACCCTTGCTGTTGTCCGGCAGGATGTACTTTTGGACCCAAAGCGAGTTACTCAGAACTTGGTAATTCATACGATTCATAATGTTGTGCAAAACTTCTCAAAGTTCCAAGATTTCAACAAATGGAGGCTAGCCTGAAATGTTTACTTCTCCACTGACTCACAACTTGAACTATCACCCATCCCAGACAAATGTTTGTAAGTAATTGGAATAGAATCTCACATATCTGACTTTTGTCACATACAAAGTTGGCAAGTTTTGTTCGCTGCACATTTACCTTCCTTAACCGTGCACAATGAGCTCTAAACACTTTCTTTTATGTCATAAAAATTTCTATCTTACTTTTACTGAAAAACTGTACTTCCTACAAAATTTTCTCAAAGCTGTATCGTTGAATTCACAAGAATTTAAGGGAATGTAATTTCTTGATGTGCAGTGCAAAAACAACAAACACGTCAGGATTTCTCAATCGTGCACATGCTCAAGGGCCTTAGAGTGATAAAGCATTGATTTATGAGTGTTACGTATGTGTATTTTGTTTAAGTTAGAGTAAGGTTCTTCTCATCTGCTTTTAATTTGCTTTTCGCCATATCCCCTCTATTTTTTCCCTTGTGGAAGTTTCATGCTGAATTGCCAGACATACCAAGATAACGTTGGCTCTGGTCTTTCACAATACACGTAGCCAGCAAAGGTCCAAAAAAAAAACCACACGGTATTCCATGGAAAAGTACTTAGATATACCAAGTTTGTCAGTATGGTTCATCTATCTTAATTCTTCATTCTGCCTGAAGCAAACCTCCAAGCCACTACTCAAAGGCTCAATCGACAAACTTTTTACAACAAAAAATGCTGACTCCACTCCCAGCTAGCCAGGTGAGGCTTTTAAACTGTTTGTTCCTCCTCAAAATAACCGAACAACATAAATAAAAAAGAAGAAATGAAACATTCTTGACAAACTGTCACTTTTGCACTTGGTGACGCCAAACACGAACAACAAACAAAGGAAAACTCCCCTAGGGAGTCAGGGATTGACACCAGCCCTTAAATAAATACTTTTTTTTACCAAAACTCCCAAAGGGAGACGAGTGTCACAAAGTTTACATCACTAGCTGCAGTCTCTAAATAATAAACTGGTCTGCCCACTACTTGTTAAGAATGTTACTCTCACTCAGTCTCCTGTGATTCCTATAAGGTCTGACCAACTGGGAAGGAGTGAGGAAGAAGTGATGGTAACTTAAAGCTTTGAAAGGAGTGATCATCTGCCAAACTCTGGCTGGTTAGAACACAATGAACAAAGATGCAAAAATAAATGTCTTTTAATAGTTACCATATGGGCAGAAGCAAAGTATGGCAGGTGAAAGATTGAGCAATTGTCTCCTCTGTCTGTCTCCATTAAATACTTTCAACCCCTCATCACTGATTACTGTTCACACTTAACCAAGTTATGTGACTGCTTTTAGCAAGACCAAGATTATGAAATGAAGACCATCTTTGTGCTAGCTGTTAAATTCAGCTGTAATTCTTAGCTCCCCAGCTCACTAATATGAATTTAACTAACACATGATCCAAGCTTAAAGTTATTTTTGTTCAAAGGGGAACTAATTCAGATAATTTACTACCAACCCAAAAGTACATTTATCTCATGACAGTCTTTCCTGTTTTTTTCATCTCAATTCTAATAATGTACTCACATTCATGAAAATATCTTGTGCGTAATTGTCTGTATCTGAGTCCCACAAGCATCTACATGCTACCCTGAAGATTTAATTTTCACACATGCTATTAAACAATTGTTCCATGAGTGTATGTTGGATGTGAGATGATAGATAACCAACAAGTTCCTGCTTTGATCAACACATATCCAACAAGCATGATTGGAATAATTTTTAATTTAAAATGCCCCAAAATGTGGATAAATCTTCCCAACTTTATTTTGTAAGTACTGTACAAACTTACCATATTTGTAAAGTATGGTACAGTGGCTCATAACCCATGATGGCTGAGCCAGTGAAAACCCTTGAATTGCATAAATTAATCCAATGATCCAGTTTTAGTAATACAAGAAAGATCATAATAGCTGTCATTTAATTATTTTTATAATAGCAAATGGTTTGCATTGTCAAATTTAAACATAAAGTGCACTTTTGTATGTTCAATGCTGTGTCCATGTCTGGACTCTATTGTTGTTTGTCCCAGAACGTTTTGTCTGACAAGCTCAGAAAATTATAACTTGAATTGATTCCAAACCCTTGAATTCTAGCGAACAGCTAAAACAAATTATTTTGAAAGTAACCAACATATGCAATGCAGACAGCTAACAGTATAGACTGAACAAGATTTGTGGTCTATTTCAGATTTTGATCAGAGTACAAGTACAGCACTTCAAGTTGCCAGCACTTGGTTGACCCTTTGACTCCCAAAGTGATTAACAAATAGTTTATCCCAACAATATTCATACATCATCCCACAAAAATGTGATGAGAATACTCAGACTTATCAAGTAGAAGTTGCTATCTTGATCTAACACCAAATTCTTGTGACTGATTCATAAGGAAATATGTGGCAATTACATGTAGAGGGAAGAATTAACAACCAGATCTTGAGAGTTAAAGGGTTAATTTCAAAATCATTTCAATAGCTAAAACTGCAACAAAAGTTGACAATTTGACAATATCTCCTTGGCAATCAATTAACAAGCTGCAATGGTTTTATTACATAAAGTTGTAGAATTAATGGTCCTAAGTTGAAATCAATGCTCTTTCATTCTCTTGTAATAAAAAAAAACCTATTTCTTTTCTCTTCAGATGTCTATTAAGTATTAGGCCTTGATATACACATATCTTGAGTCTCCAAACTTAATTGCCAGCTATACTGCTTCTTGCAAAGCCAGATGATGCAGCCTGAAGCTTAGTACATCATGTAATATTGCATTAAGCATTCTCTATTTCCTTGCAAATAACAGATAATGTCCAAGGACAAATATAGGAGCATGTTTTGATGGAGGCTATTGAGTTAAAATGTTTACAAACAGCTTAGCATTTACTGCATGGAAAGTTCACTTTCCAGTGTTCTTTGATACCACTTACAGAACAAACAAAATATACCCCTTCTCCTGCAGCAACAGGAAAATGCTCTTTCATCTTGAGGTAAATTTTAAACAAAAACTTTTGTCATGATATTGGACATCAGGTTTGAAAATTGGGGAACATCACAGGATATCCACCAGCTTTAGCAGGTACACGACACATGTAGACCAATTGTGCACATGCAAAAATATTTCATGGATTATAATTGTTGATAATTACCCCAGTATTAGCTAGGGCTAATATTTAGTCACATGATGTATTTAGACCAATTATACACAAGTGAAAATATATGATAGGTTGTAAGGATAAATATAAAGTTTGTCCAAAAGAACTCCTTATCCAACATGTTTCTCACTGAATTACAAATTAGCATCTGACAAGATAATTTACATAAAACTGCAAACAAAAATTACAATTTTTTTCAAGACTTACTTAACTCCTTCTCCTCTTTGTTCACCAATGACAACTTGGACAATAAATTTGTATCTGTCCAAATCCAGTTCTGCATTAAAATGAAGAGAAAAAAATGGAAAATGAAGAAATTTGAAAGTTGGCCATAAAATTAAAGTACAAGATGTAATAAATTAAAGGTTATCCTCTAGTTTTTACAATTTTGTATACATTCAATTGCAAAGACATTAACACCTAAAAAGCATGATCCATGAAGGATAAGACCCTACAACTTCACGAAAAATGTTCAAACTAAGATATAATCAGTGATCTGCTTTTATTTCTAATTATTCATGGCAAATCAATGCCAATCAATTTTTTTTCAGAAAACCTTGGATGGTTCCCATTATCCACTGTGTAAAACAAATGGTGGTGATCAAGTACATCTGGGCACAATTGTTCACAAGGCAGATAATGCCATCCACAGGATAAGTCGCTACCCAGCGGATGAGTGTTAACAAAACATGTTGTGCTACCCAACAGATAGAGATTTATCTGGTGGATGGTGTTATATTCTCTTTGAAACAACCAGAGCCAGACCTATACAGTTGAAAGGTCTCATTGTTTATTTTAAACCTTTCTTAGATGTAAAAGTTCTCAGTGTTCTCCTTTTCAAGCGTTAACCAGTAAAATTTACTGCTAATTGTAATCACCTAAAATTGCTTGGAAATCTTGAAAATTGAATAGGTAAAGGGATTACTCCACTAGTTTGACTTTTTTTTTAAATGTTGTGCTTAAAATAAGGTAGAACACAGCATTTTTACAATTGATGCATAGAACTCTAAGCTAAAGTTGTTTTAAAGTCACCATGTGGCAATCTAAAATTGTCATATGGTCCATGGTAATAAAGGAATTTTAGGCCCCAGAGAAAAAAAAATTTAAAACAAAACAACATTTGAAAAGGACAATTTTCAACCAAATACATACTGCAACATCTACAATGTAAATATTTGTTTCACTTCAACTTCACAAAAACAATAAACTGATAAGAATGTTACAAAATCTTATTAGTCAAGAGCATTAAATCAATATACAATACAAAGTGTGAAGTTCACATGATAAATGTGTTATCTTCAGGGCATACTGCATTTATCATGTCAAGTTCAAAGTCTGCCTAGTTTCCCAGACCATTGTCTGTGAAGTGGTCTCCAACTTTTGCAAACTTAGAGAGAGAAACTCAAAATGGCTGAGTGCTTTTAAAAAAAACTGTTATAAAACAACTATTGAATTCAGTTTTTGCATGATATTATGAATTATCAAACCTAGTATCTAATTTATCATGCTCAACCTTATCAAATAATTGCTTATTTGCAGGCTACTGTAACATATTTTAATGTACTTATACCGTTTGATGTTAGTATAGTTAGCTTTACCATTAACTTTGTAAGAGGCAAAGCATTGTTGCTACTGCTAGTAAAAATGTTAGAACTGTAAATTTTGTGTTGAAAGTGATGTTACTACTGTCACTTCTGTTGGTAATTTGTTACTAAACTATGTTCATATTGTCACAAATGCTAGTATTGTAAGTAATGGTGTACTGTAAACAATGTCATTATTGTGAATAAATGAAACAAAGTTGCTGAAACATATTTCTATTAGCCCTGGAAATCAGAGTAGTCGGAGCTTGGAGAACAGGCACAAAAAACAGATCAAAAGTCAGCTGTTACACATTGTTGTAAATGTCAGATGCACTTTATTGTATTTTCATGCATTGTAGAAAATAAAGTTGCTGTCAATGATAGATTCGGGTTTCAAATCGTAACGATCTATTGTTCACTCATGAATTATAGAAAGAGCAGATTTTCAAAACTCCAAAACTTACCTTTCAGTTTTTCTTTCACAGTCTCAGAGATGTGTTTACACCATGCAGTCGCCTCCTCTGAGCTGTATTTTTTGCCCGAAAGTTCCTCATTCAAAACATCATGAATGATTGCTTTTACAGAAGCAGGACGGAACCTGATTACAGCATAAAACAAAGAAATTTCATGCCAAAACGAAGAGACACCAATTTAAATATATACATATACGAAGAGAAGATGAATTTTAGTCAAATCGCTCGGAATAAAGTCTAAATGAAGGCTGAAATTTCTTACTTGTGCTTGAAATTAGGTCGTATATTATAGGAATTGGACAGGTCTTCAGGCATCTTTCTGTTTTCATGAAACTAAAGAAGTCATGGAGGGTAAATGCGAAAGAGTTGCAACGATAACCTTTTTAAAAATACTTCAAAAATGGCGGCGAGCAAGAGCGAATCTTAATCACCATGACAACGAAGGAAAATAATACTTGTACCCAGGAATAAGGGGTTCGCTCTGGCTCGGTCAGGTCGTATGTAATCATTAGAGAGGGAGAAGATGATTTTTAGACTTTTTAGATTAAAAGAGTGGATGTGTATCCCGTATGAGAAAGATTCCGTCTGATAAAATGGACCACCTTGTTATGAATATGCGCAAAGGCAAATGCATATTGCGCGAAGGCAAATTTCTTGATAAGAAAATGATGCCAGATACAGATATACCTCACCGCCTTAGTTTTCCCTTCACGCGAACACGCATTTTGTATGGATAAGAAGGGAGCAGAGGGAAAGGTGAGTGGCAATATTACCTTTAGCTTCATGCTATTTTAACTTTAGAGTAACAATGCTTCTTGTCCCCTTTCTCCACCCCGTCCGCGGGCGGGGTAAGAAGGGGTATCAGCTCCACTGAGCCCGAAAGCCACCAACCAAAACACGTTAGATTTCAATTGCATGTTTATGTTTTGGTATCAAATGTTCCAGCAACTTTGAGGAGTTTTTGTCTTTCCAAGAAATTTTCAATCAAGCACGAAAAAGTCAACGATTTCATAGAAAACTTCAAGAAACATGTGGTTTTAGACTCTGAAATCAATCAGTAGAGCTAGTTTCGTTCAAGTTCCCTCATTATTCGGCAAGACGGGAAATTAACCATGTTTTTTTCAAATTTCGCCCATATTTGCGAGCAAATCTTGAAGCTAAGTTTCCAGCTGTTTTTTTTTTTTTAAACCAATGCTATCATTTACCGTGAAGAACGAAGATAAAGCTTTTAATTAACGTTTACATGAAAATATCGAGAAATTTAGGTAACAGCTTTTGAAATTCAGGTGGAAACTTTTTGGATTTTGGCAATTTTTAGCATCTTTGTAGCAGTCCAGTGAGCAACGTTCCAGCATTTTACGAGCACTACGCTATCCGTTAGATATTTCTCTACCGGGTGGATAGCGCAGTACGTTTTGTTTACACTAATACACTGAATAGCGATTTTTTCGTTGGATAGCGTTTTCCACTTCTCAAACAAGCGGGCCTGATTGGTGAGAGGCATTATGGGAATGGTGTGTTTTACCAAGAACTCAATCATATGACACGGCTAAGCTTTGAACCCAGACCCCCTGACCCAAATTCCAGAGCATTAAAAGAATAACCCACACAGAAATGAATGCAAAAGAAAAAGAGGTTTATTGTGTTTAGAATGGCAAATTAAATTTCTTCACAGTTTCTTTAATTTGATATTCTACAGTCAAATCTACAAATTGTAATCTCAACTCAAATACAGTAAGGGACTTAGACCGTTCAAAACACCGCAGTATTGCAGCCTACCACACAATCATATAACTCAAACTGTCTTTTCCCTGTTCTCACTTTCTATCCTCTTTGCACGCGGTAGGTTCATATTCGCAGCGTCCATAATTATCAAGTCCATATACTCCAGATAGTCTACAGGGGTGTTGCCCTTAGATACCCTTTTGCCGCCGTTCTTCCCCGCGTTTGGGTGACGTTCCCATTTTGTTGGTTCGTTCGAGCTTCGCCCAGGAGGGTGTTGCAAAACATTAGGGTTTGCGATAATTGTTTCACTGATTCTTCCGCCTGCTTCATCCTCTTCCTTCTGACGTGCCCTGAGAGAAATATCACAAGTTCAGAAAATCTGTAACTATTACCACTTACCTCTAGTATAGCAAAGTGAGCAAGGATCTTTTTTTTTTAATTAATTCCAGGTTTAAAAAATGGCAGATACTGTCGCTCTATGAAAATAAAGGCTGCGACAAAGAGAAATAACGCTTTTTTCCAGGGCTTCTCGTGACTGAGCGCTTCAAAGTTCCTACTTTACCGCTTGCTACGCAAGCTCACAAAAATAAACTTACTTTCTCATTTTCTGCATTCTGATGACGACGATAGAGATCATTAGAATCGCTAAAAATAGGAATAGCACAGAGAAACAAAGAAACCCAATGGCCACATACAGAACTGCAATGAGGGGAAAAAAATTAATTAGTTGACATTGACTACAAGTCGTAAACAAATTTTCGTCGTTTTCCGAGAGCGTTCTTAAATCCTCCCAAGAAGGTTTAGGTGCGTGGGCTCATTTTTCGACCATAAGCTGGTTATCGATCCCATGCTCCAAGAGGGTTCTAATTCTCAATGACTCAAAATTCCGCTTCAACGCGAAGTAAAAGCTGATTCAAACCAAAATTGACTAGGTGCAAAGTTCAGAGAGAATCAATTGTGGTCAGAGAAGATACGATACTCAGTCAATTTATCAGGAGCAAAACTAGTTTCCAGACTAATCTTGATTGTGTCCAGAACTTTCCACCAAAGATGTGGAGTGGGGAGGGGATGGAAGGGAAGGGAGAGAAGAGAAGGGAGGGGATGGAAGGGAAGGGAAGGGAAGAGAAGGGAGGGGAGGGAAGGGAAGAGAAGGGAGGGGAGGGAAGGGAGGGTGGAGTCTACATAATGGTCACACCAATTATGCCAGTTGGTTTTTGGTGTAACATGATATCACAAATTTTCCTCACGAAGACATAGGTCATAAGCACCTCCTCCCTTTCATAACTACGCCATTGATTACAGATAATAACGATGGTAAATCATAATAAATACAAATCACGAGTGTGCAAATTCTTGTGGCAGAGCTTACTCGTAAGTAGATGTTAGTTAAGTAAAGAAATACAAGAGCTGGCACTTTCATTCAGTTAACGTTTACTGAAAGAGGTGATAGTTGCAATTTGTACTCGTGGTAAAACTTACGTAGTTTATCATCATTCAGCAAGTCGTCCAGCTTGTTACCATATGTCAGCCCTAAAGAAAAAAGGTGTTTTTAAAAATTCGTGAGTGACAGAGGGACCAATTTTGTTTCGCCTGAAAGGAAAGAGAGGGAGGGGGATGGGCTGGGGTCCAAAATTGATTGACAAAGTCCGACCCCCTCTCCCCTCCCCCAATACTGCTATATCTTATATTTTACATTTTACTATATATTAGTATTTCATTAATTTAAAAATGCAAAGGATCTGTCTAATGACTCAGTTTTCTTTGATCACGGGTAAATTAAAACCTAAAGCCAGAGGTATTTTGTTAGTGACGACTGATCCCCCCGTAAAATTTATGAGATGTGTAAAAATGCGAATTTTTTAAACAAAAATTAGAAAATGGTAATATAAACAAAATCAGGAAAAACAAAGAGATACTATCAAAAAATGATTTAATGAGTGAGTGTTGATAAGATAACAATTTGATTGGTTAGTATGAACGAAAACAAAGTGTAAACATTAATTAATATTCGATGCCATTACGATATGAATATATTGTTTTAAGGCTGTGAAGAGTCAAGGCAGGAGGTTTTGTTGTGCAATTACCTAGCTCATCAGAGTAGAGTTATCAAATGCCATTCAAGAAATTTCTCGTAACAACAGCGTCTGAATTGTTACCAAAAGCGTTGACTGATTCAAATGCTAACTAGCTTGTAATTACGTGACGTAATGCAAGCTGTCGATCATTCAAAATAATTATAACAATAGATCTCTCAAATTGCTTCGTGTTTTTGAATTTGACTTTCTCTAGAAAGAACTTTCCTTTTATTGCAATTTAAGATATTCCTGGTTTCGAACAGACTGCCTAGAATTTTGATAATTGTTTGATATTGAGCATATTTTGTGAATGATATCGGGTTGTTTTAAATTATCATTTTACTTTTGCGATTTGCTTTTTAGAACGATTTCCTAATTACAGTAACTTAAACTGTTCATGTCTTGTTAATTGATGACTTTCAAAATTGTAAGCCACTCCTACTATACAAGAAATTTTTAAAATAAACCTTATCGGCCTTTCTCTAAGACGCTTGCAGCTATATCTAGTACAATTAATGTGGCAAAACACTTCAAAGAAGGGTAACTTACCTGTGAATGCCAATATGACAAAAATCTTCAAAACAACTGAGCGATTTCTGGAAGCGTCATCCATTGGGATTGAAAAACTGGCAAATGGTTTGTTTACACCAAAATCTTCCACCTCTGTCGACGAATGAGATTTTTAAATCCTGTAATGATGAGAGCAAACTACAATAGCGGGACTTCTCTAGATAAAATAAAACTGGCTTCGCAAAAATGAGTTCCTTGGTATGGAGTTTCAGTATATAAGTTCAGCAGCTAACGGAACGAAAGCAGGTAAGTGTTTCGCTATCTTGGACTTCTTGAAGCACCTTTGCGTTGTTCAATTTGATTATATAGCACTTTACCTTCTTGTAATTATCCTATCTTATGAGAAATATGTTGTCCTTGCTGCGTTAAATGTATCCGCTCTCTGTCACTAATATTCATTAAACATAGCACATGATCATTCAAGCATGCATATCGCGCTATCTCTAATATACAATTCCAGTCTCTCTCAGTTTTGAAGCATTTCGACGGACAAAGCCAGAGTTGTTGGTGCTGCAATAACGTGCATTTACATAGTTTATAATTATCACCCAGTCAGTGTTAATTTGCTTGGTTTTAGGGAAACATTAAAAACTCTATTTATTGTCTTAGGGGGTCAGAGGAACGTGGTTGTGTCGCTTTGTGTACCCTTGTATTGCAGCTCAATGGAAATCATTAGTAGCCTGTAATGTAAATTAAACTTCAACAATGGCGTTTACTGGGAGATTTTTTCCAAGTATAGTAATCATAATTTAAGCAAAATCTTGGCGGAGCTGGTCAATACAAAGCCAAAGTGGTGGATATTTCTCTTGTATGACACGAGGTGTCACTCTACAGAACCGGAAGAAGTGCCTTCGTCTTTATCAATAATGACTTCTTGTTTGCGCACCGGAAACTTGGTAAATTTGAACTTCGTTTCGCTCTCTTTGCGTGGATTCTGAAATAAGAGTATACATTAAAAGTTCCTGTGCGTTACAAATCGGTTTACTATTGTAGAGAGCTATCTAAACTAATGATGTCTCCCATTAAAGAAGACTTTATGAATCAATGTATTATTGTGGAGAGTGATCTAAACTAATGATACCTCCCATTGAAGGAGAATTTCTGAATCAGTGTACTATTGTAGATAGTTTAGAGAGTTATCTAAACTAATGGTACCTCCCGTTTAAGAAGACTTTCTGAAAAGTTGACCAGGTTCAAATGAAACAGATTCAAGGAAGGCACTCTTTTGACTGGCTTCAGGGAGAACGCCGCTGATCAGGTATGATTGACGGGGCCGTACGTCTGACAGACTTAAAAAAACTACATGATTTCGCCGTTTGAACTGAGTGTCCATCTGAACTGAAAGCCTTTAATGAGATGTGAGAGTTAGCGATATGCAGATTACATGTGTGTTACAAGCAAGTTTTGAATAGACGTTGCTGAATGATGCCGAAATAGCACAACGCGTGACGGGGTTTATTTAAAGAAATGTAAGGAAATAGGGGTATTTTTCTTTCAACAGAATCACAGTTTGGAGGCTTCAAAAGTACGTTTCAACCCAAAACCTCTGACAGTTTTCTTGCTTCTTCTCTGAGGAGGCCTCAAGTTGCTTTCAGTTATGCTACATTTGAACGAAAATGGCACTTTCTTGAAAATCCTGTTCTGTTGAGTTTTGCAACATTCATTCGTACTTCAAGTTTATATTAAATCAACTACGCTGTTGCCTCTTATTCTTTCAAACATCTTACCAAAGATTTTCCTGGAATGGACGACGTTTGTTCTCGTTGCCTCACTCTCATGTTATCCGCGCAAATCGGCCCAGGCACTGTGCCACTGGCTCCATGTAAGTTTACCTCATATACTGCACGACTGCTGCTTATCCTGACAAGATACGGTTAATTATTTACTAAAAGTAAGTAGAAAACTCACTGAATTCATTGCACGAGGATCATAAGATCCTCTCTTTATTTGCTGTCTATTAAGGAATAGATAGCGAGGAGTGTAGCCAATCAGATTGCAGCATTTGTGATGGAACACAAATAAATTTGTATTAATAGTGGTTATTCCTAAAAGAGGTACAATGTATCATATCAATGAAATATAAATGCGATTTTCTGTTTCAGTAGTAAGAGCTTTTGTACGCAGATAGCAACGGCAAAAATTGAACTTCTTGTTATTTACCGTTGGATGCTTCTACACTCATATGAAAGAGAAAATTGCTTTTACCGTAGATGAGAGTCCATTTATAATTAGTAATTTACTCTTTCAAGAATGACTGAACAAGCTGAGAGTCAATTATTGCCCGTTTCTTATTTTTCTTCAAATAATTTCTTCCATCTGCTACGATGTGAATCTTGTAAAACTGATCAAAGCTTACTTTTTCATAATTTTGTCGAGTTTTTTTTGCTTGACACTGAAAGACGTCTCGCTATAAAGTTGGCCGGATTTGTTCCAAGTTATTTCATATACACTACTGCTTTGAAGTCTAAGATGGCATATCCCAAAGGCCTTCACGCCACTGCTCCTGGTCTGTGCGTGGTCAACAGTTGATCTGAAAACGTTTACGGAAGATGAATTAAAGTTTTTGAGAGAATTATTTGAAATGAGGTATTGATTTGTTTCCTAAATTTACTGCATCATGCAAACAACATGATCGTTAAGTAAGTTGAACTATGCAGCTGCTGAATGTGTTAATCACATGTCTGCAAATTGCCTCTGGTGCGAAGGAATATCTCAAACAAACTTTGAGTTTAGAACATTTGCTGGTGAGCTATTTTGAGATATTATCGCTGTTATGAGGACAATTTGTTGTTCACTTTGAAATTAGATTAGAGGAATTGTTGGTTGTGTGTGTGTGTCTATATGCAGGAAATGGAGCAACACTACTAGTTGGACTATGGTGACTAGAAAACAAGATTGAAATAATGTTTTGCTCGTTGAAAGCCGGACGAGAAAGAGAAATTAAGCCATGCGCTAAAAGAGTTTTGACTAAGTTTCATGACGTTTTAAAGAAAAAATGAATTCCGGAATGTGATTTCTGATTTCCCGGATGGAATGAAAAATGACATAATCTCATCTTCAGTTCTCAAGTTAGATCATGAGTTCTTTTACATGATCGGCGTGTCTGAGTATTTCGCTAAATACGTATATGAATGGAAAAAAAAAACCAGCCAAATTGTGATTAGAAAATGGCTATTAAAACAATCTTCGC